AATTTCTGAAGAAGGGTCCCAACCTGAAACGTCAACTTTCCTGCTCCTCTGATGCCGCCTGGCCTGCTGTGTTCCTCCAGCTCCACACTGTGTTGTCTCCTCTTTGAGATAATGCTGTTGGATCCTCTCAAAAACACAGAGTTCTGGGTTAATGGCTCACCACAAGGCAGTTTCTGGTGACAGTACAGCACTCCCTCAGCACTACACTTCAGTGTCAGACTAGAAATATCACAGAATTATTACAGTGTAGAAGGAGGCCATTTGGCCCATCATACCTGTACTGGCTATATGATCTAGTCCAGCTCCACTATCTAGTGCCAGTCTCCTGCCTTTTCTCCATATCCCTGCACTCCACTGTTGTCTAAAAAAGATATCCAACAACCCTCAATTGAACCTGCCTCCATCACATTTCCAGGCAGTCCATTCTGCACCCTAACTATCCGGTGTGTGAAAATGTCTTTTCTTACATCAGCCCTGCTTCATGTGCACATCACTTATTCTATAGTAATGGAATATGCAAAGACAACTAAAATGCCAGAAGGCAATGCTTTGCAACTTAATATAACAAAAGCTTTAAAAGAATCGATCAATTCATTCAGCCAGCAATTCCAGCCACAGATCATCTGTGATATTACCCTTAACTCTATGTTTTCACCTCTTTTTTGTGATCAGCAGAGTTTTCATCCTCCCTCACATTGACTCTGACCGTCCATCTTTTAGACTCTGTTCCAACATTCATGCCTCAAGAACAGGAACTCGTGACTCTATCGCATTCCATCCTAATGTAGTCACTCCCCTTCCCAGTTTTCAGATGTATCCAGATTGATTTTGATTCTCTCTCGTTTTTGTCCATTCCATACGTCCAGCTCCTCTAGGGAAAAGCATTGGGTTCACATGGAACTGTCAATGGGCTTCCTTCTCATTCAATAACAACACAAAATGAAGAAAATTAGGTCCAGAAGCAAAAACCAATAAAATGTGTGAACGAGACAAAATGGTTCAGCTCGTACATATTTTTGAGGCAACCTGATGCATCTCAGGAGCAAGTGGAATTTGAATCCAAGTCTTCTGACTTAGAGATAGGGAAACTGTCTTTGTGCCACAATACCCGCTTCTGGACTGGTCATTTATATATCAAAACTGAGCTCCAGTATGACCCCTACCTTCATTTCCAGATATTACTGCTCTGTTTTTACTGGTTGTACCCCTGGGAAGGCCTTACAAAGGGTCTTGAATGTTTTAAATCATTGCAACCTGCTCCTTCTGCAAAAGCCAAAGAAAGCTTTGTCCACTTAGGTCCGACTGAATAAAATATCACGGAGCCAGCTGTTCATCTCACCACAAATACCATATTCTCGCCCATGGAAA